TCAGTCATGGGGCTTGAACTCTGGGCCTGGGCACTGTCCCTCAGCTCTTCAACTCAAGGCAAGTGCCCTACCACTTGAGCCACAGCGCCACTTCGAGGTTTCTGGTGGTTTATTGGAGACAGAGTCTCAAAGACTTTCCTGCTCAGGCTGGCTTTGAACCATGATCATCAGATCTCAGCCTCCTGAGTAGCTAGGCGCACAGCTACGTTCTTTTTTTTTTTTTTTTTGGTCAGTCATGGGGCTTGAATTCTGGGCCTGGGCGCTGTCCCTCAGCTCTTCAGCTCACAGTGAGTGCTCTGCCACTTAAGCCAAAGTCCCATTTCTGGTTTTCTGGTGGTTAATTGGAGATAACCTGCCGGGGCTGGCTTTGAACCGCGATCCTCAGATCTCAGCCTCCTGAGTAGCTAGGATTACAGGTGTGAGCCACCGGTGCCCAGCATCTTTTACATTCTTAAAATAATATGACTTTATTGAGGCATATTTAATGTATATAATTTTCCCAATCCAAGCATACAATGCAGAGTTTTAACAAATTTACCAGGTTTACAACCATCCTCTAATCTACTTTGGAACATTTTCTTGGCTTTCTCACTCAAGGCTGGTGCTCTACCATGTGAGCTACAGTTCCACTTCTGGCTTTTTGTATTAATTGGAAATAAGTGTCTCGCAGACTTTCCTGTTCAGGCTTGCTTCAAACCAGTTTGGATGTGGAAGCACATAGAGGGGATACAGTGAGCATGATGCCCAGGTCTCTAGAGCTGGAATGTCCCCTGGGAGTCCAGGGACCCTATTCATTTATTTAGTGCAGGTCCTGGGCTTCAATTTGAAATATGGATACTAAGTAACACTATCTTGTCCTCACTGCCATCTTGGCATATTAATAGATGGGGACTTTTCACGCTGTTCCAAGAACTACAGATGTGCTATATGCCATTCCAAGAACTCAAAAGATGATATAGATCATTCCTTGAGTTGCAGGTGTCATGGGTTGTTAAGCTCTAGAAAGTCTTGTTCCAGGGAATTCTTGCCCTTGATTGCCCAATTGTTTCCCCTAGCTTGCTTTGCTTCTGCAAACATGCTCTTGCTAGGTTTAGTTCCTCATACCGGTCATGAGGTTTATCCCTTTATAAGCTTTGTATTAACTGCAATTGAGGCTATGAATTTCTTTGTGGCACAAGTCCGTCCACAGTCACCAGCTTTGGAATAAAGACTTCTGATTTGACCTCTCCAAGTGTGGTGTTTCTCTGTATCTCACTGATCAAATTCCCATATAACAAACTCAGGCCTGGATGCTGTCCCTGAACTTTTTCATCCAAAGTTGATGCTCTACCACTTGTTTCACAGCTCCACTTCTGGCTTTTTGGTAGTTAATTGAATAAAAGGGTCTCAAGGAGGGGCTGAGAATGTGGCTTAGTAGTAGAGTGCTTGCCTACTATGCATGAAGCCCTGGGTTCAGTTCCTCAGTACCACATAAACAGAAAAAGCCAGAAGTGGTACTGTGGCTTAAAATGGTAGAGTGCTAGCCTTGAGCAACAGAAGCTCAGGGACAGTGCCTAGGCTCTGAGTGCAAGCCCCAGAACTGGCAAAAAAAAAAAAAAAAGGTCCCAAGGATTCTCCGGCCCTAGTTGGCTTCAAACTGGGATCCTCAGATCAGCTCCCTTAGTAGCTAGGATTACAGGTGTAAGCTCCTGGAGCCTGGCCTGCAGGATTTTGAGGCAGCTAGTGATGGCATCCTAGGCCCTGTTAAGTTCCAGCCTTAGAAAGGAAAGGGCTGGAAAGATGGCTCAGTGGTAGAGTGCTTGCCTTGCATGCATGAGGCCCTGGGTTTGTGGCGCTGTGGCTCAAATGGTAGAGCGCTAGCCTTGAGCTGAAGAGCTGAGAGACAGCTCCCAAAGTTCAGGTCCACTACGATCAAAAAAAAAAAAAAAAGAACGAAAGAAAGGAAAGGAAAGAGCACCACCTAGGGGACAGTTTTGGTGACTGGTGGTTAAATAATGTACAGCAAAAAATCCATGAAGCCACATTTTGAGAAATTGAATCTGGAGTCTTTTTTTTTTTGGTCTGTTGTGGGGCCTGAACTCTGGGCCTGGGCGCTGTCCCTCAGCTCTTCAGCTCAAGGCTAGCACTCTACCACTTGAGCCACAACGCCACTTCCGGCTTTTTTCTTTTTGCTTATGTGGTGCTGAGGAATCGAACCCAGGGCCTCAGGCATGCAAGGCAAGCTCTCTACCACTGAGCCACCTTCCCAGCCCCCCCTTTTTTTTTAATGAAAACATTTTTTTTTTTTGCCGGGCACCAGTGGCTCACGCCTATAATCCTAGCTACTCAGGAGGCTGAGATCTGGGGATCATGGTTCAAAGCCAGCCCAGGCAGAAAAATCCATGAGACTCTTATCACCAATAAACCACTAGAAAAGTAGCAGTGGCGCTGTGGCTCAGGCGGTAGAGCACTTGCCTTGAGCTGAAGAGCACAGGGACAGCACCCAGCCCAGAGTTCAAGCCCCATGACTGACAATGTTTTTTTTTGTTTTTGTTTTTGCTGTCAAGGTGATGTACAGAGGGGTTACATTTACATAAGTAAGGTAGTGAGTACATTTCTTGTTGAACTTGTTACCCTCTCCCTCATTTTTCTCTCACATTCCCTTCCCCCCGTCCCTTCCTACCAGCACATAACTTTTTTTTTTTTTTGCCAGTCCTAGGGCTTCAGTTCAGGGCTTGAGCACTATCTGTCCCTGAGCTTCTTTTGCTCAAGGCTAGCACTTTACCACTTGAGCCACGGTACCACTTTTGGCTTTTTCTGTTTATGTGGTACTGAGGAATTGAACCCATAGTTTTATGCATGCTAGGCAAGCATGCTACCACCAAACCACATTTCCCAGTCTAGCACATAACTTTTAAAGACAAAAACCACATGTTGGGGTGGAGACCAAGCCTTAACAGCCTTAACAAAAGCCTTTTTCATAAAACAAAGTGAGCTAGATGAAGATATTTATTCCTATAAAGGGGTTATACATAAGCAAAGCAACTGAATGGGATACTTAATTCTAACAAAAGTCTTATACACAGGCAGAACAAACTATGCAGGGGCACAATAAGGAAAAACCAGGGCCCCAACTATCTAGAGGAAACACGAGCTTTCTGGAGTCCTACAACTCATGACATATTTGCAATCCAGAGTGTCCTCTATCACCCCTAGAGTTCTCAGAAAATCCAGATGCCAAGATGGCATTTATTAAATCCAGAATCCTTATTTCAATAAAATAAAGAAAAATGCAAGGCACATGGAATGGATGCATTCTGACACTCCACACTGTAGAAGGACTGATCTGGTGGCTGTTAGGTTTTTAAAAAGAGGTAGCCAAGTAATAACAGCACCATGCATGTGGTATTCAGGTAAGGGGTAGGTTTATTCAGTAGACCTGCTGGGACCAGGCCAGGTTGGCACTCCACACAGCTGGCAAAAAGAGGGTCTGGCCCTGGGTTAGGCCTTATCTAGGGTAGGGTCAGGGAAAGATGTGTCCAGGTAAAGGGAAGTGGGACCAGGTAAGAGGAGGTGGGACCAGGTGGGAGAAAGATGTGGCCACATCAGATCCAGATGTGACCTCAGTGGATTCGGATATGACCTCTTCCAGGTGCCCCAGTTGCCTAGGTAACACAGGTACTGAGCGGGGGTCTGCTTGCCATCCAGGAATGGACCTTACAATGGCAACCCAGATTCAGAATGAAATAGTCGGGCTGAGAATGTGGTTTAGTGGTAGAGTGTTTGCCTAGCATGCATGAAGCCCTCGGTTCGATTTCCTCGATACCACATAAACAGAAAAAGCCAGAAGTGTGTGGTGCTGTGGCTCAAGTGGTAGAGAGCTAGCCTTGAGCAAAAGAAGCTCTGGGACAGTGTGCAGGCCCTGAGTTCAAGCCCTGGGAATGGCACGCGCGCGCGCACACACACACGCACACACACACTGAAATAGGCCCTGAGTTCAAGCCCTGGGAATGGCACACGCGCACACACACACACACACACACACTGAAATAGGTCCTGAGTTCAAGCCCTGGGAATGGCGCACACACACACACACACACACTGAAATAGCCTGTCCCGGGACCACTGCTGCCGGGACTGTGACCAAGAAATAAACAAGGCGCCACAGCAAAATCGTAAGCAGAATGGAATGTGGGCCTGTAGCCACTGAAAAATCAATCCATTTTAAACAAAACATGATTAGGAGGAATTAAAGCTTTGCCCTCTTCCCAGTCCTGGCACTTCTGCCTGCCCCTCCCTCTCGGGGCTGGGCCAATGTTCCCGGAGGCCAGCTAGGGATCACCAGCCCACGGCTGGCGCTTTCCCAGCTGGGACAGGACCTGGTCCTAAGCAACGTAGCGTACCGCCCCTAGCAACCACTCACCTGCTTTTCCCTTTCTATTGGCCAGAAAATTTACTTTCTTTTTCTTATTGGTCCGCGTAACTTTATTGCAGCCAATCCGTGGCAGCCACGGGCCTCACTCCCACACAACGGGGCGGGGTGAAGGAAGCACGAAGGAGACACATTTCTGGGTTTTGCTTCCAGTGTCTCCCAGAGAGCACCGCGTTTATCAGACTATTGTGACCATCTCTGAAGCGAGACTCTGACACTTATTTCCTTCTAGCCCTCAGTGAAGTCTGTCCCTTGCACGCGCTCCCCTCCGAGTGGCACGCCCCCAGGACACTCCACCTTCCCGGCGCTGGAGTGCGGCTGGGTTGCGGCCACTCGGGGCGGGGACCGTACCAACTGCGGGGCACTCCGACGGGGACGCCGGCGCTCCCTCGTCGTCTTCTGCCGCCCCAGTCTCTTGTCGCATCTCTTGCTCAGCCCCTCTCGGTGGACACGGACCCCTAAAACGGCCCGAAGGCGGCTGTTCCCGGCCCCACCTAGGACGCGCTGGGCCAGCCAAAGAAGACGGCTGCACTTGGTACGGCCCACGCCGCGCCCGCGCCGCCGGAAGTGAGGTGTCTTACCCCCTAGCTTCCGGTTCGCAGGGGGTGGGGAGTGTTGTTAACCGGAGCGGCTGCCGCAGTCGCGGGGATTGAGCGGGCTCGCCGCGCTGGGCTCCTGGTGAGTGAGTCCAAGTCCAGCCCTGGTTGGGGTTGGGGTCGGGACCAAGACCTTCCCTTTGAGGTCATCGGGATCGGGTCACCCCCTTCGTCCCCCGCCTGCGCTCGGCCTGTCAGATGGCCGCAGATCGCCAGCGCCAGCGCGGCCGCACTCCCGGAGGCCCAGCCCCGCCTGCGACTCTCGCAACTCCGGGCGCTCACAGGTGCGCGGTTGAGGACCGCCCGGGTCCCTCAGCCCCGCCACTGCACCCCATCGACTGGCCGTTTCTACGGTGCCCCAAGTTGACACTGCCTCGGGGCTTGGGGGGGACGTCAGGGTTCCAGGCTGACGTACCCCCACCCGCTCCCGAGGGGCGCGCGTCCGCGCCGACCCCCCCACCCCGCACAGCTGTCACAGATGAAGCTGCGCCCCTTTGCGCCTCGGCTTCTCCCGGCCCAGGCCAAGCGTTCCCGCCTCTACAGCGCATTTTTGCTTTTGCCTCTCGCCCCAGCTCTTTTACTTGGTGGTCAGCGGTGGCAGTCCACCCGCCCCCCCCCACCCCCAATTGCTTTTTGTTTTCGCCTCCCTAGAGGATCATCTTGGCAGGGCAGCGTGAAAAGAGTCCTAGATTTAAAACAGGACTGATCCAGGTTCCAGGCCTTGTAGCAATGAGATCCCTTGACCCCTCTGAGCCTCAGTTTCTGGCATATGGTGTCCCGGATCCGATGATTGCAAGATTCAATCTCCTTTTCTCCTATTGATGCTGTGCCAGGCACTGTATTCGGTTTGCGATCTTTACATACATTTTCTTCTACATCTTTCCCACCCAATGGCAGGTCTCCGGGCCAGGGCAATGTTCCGCACCGCAGTGATGATGGCGGCCAGCCTGGCACTGACCGGAGCCGTGGTGGCACATGCCTACTACCTCAAACACCAGTTCTACCCCACTGTGGTATACTTGACCAAGTCCAGCCCCAGCATGGCAGTGAGTTCAGGGCTCTGGGAGGGAGGATCGCCCTGGGAGGGAAGGAGGAGTCTGCCTGGGGCAGAGGTGGGGCTACATATCCGGTAAGTAGGGGGAGTAGTAGCCACTAGCTGTCTAACTTTTGAATGAACTGATGAGGATTTGGGGAGCAGAAAACAGAAAGTGACTTCAAACCATAGCCTTTCTCCACTCCTAGGTCCTGTATATACAGGCCTTTGTCCTTGTCTTCCTGTTGGGCAAGGTGATGGGCAAAGTGTTCTTTGGGCAGCTGAGGGCAGCAGAGATGGAGGTAAGGTGTCAGTGGCTGGCAGCAAAGGCGAGGGGCTGGGGACTGAGCAAACAGAATGTCTCGATTCTTCATCATCATCCCCTGTCCAACCCCCAGCACCTTTTGGAGCGTTCCTGGTATGCCGTCACGGAGACTTGTCTGGCCTTCACTGTCTTTCGGGATGACTTCAGTCCCCGCTTTGTCGCACTCTTCACTCTCCTCCTCTTTCTCAAATGTTTCCACTGGCTGGCAGAGGACCGGGTGGACTTTGTGAGTTGGGAGTGGCAGGCTTGGGATCCCTGTGGCTGGGTTGGGGAGGCAAGGTGAGCCTTGCCTTCCTAACAGGCCCCCCCCCCCCCCCGCTCTGCCTCAGATGGAACGAAGCCCCAATATCTCCTGGCTCTTTCACTGCCGCATCGTCTGTGAGTGAGGCTCTTGGAGGGCGGGGGTCATAGCTGGAGGGAGGAGAGAAGCCATGGAATGTCAGTAGTGTGCAGGCCTTTACCCCAGGGCCCGCGCTGCCCCTCAGCCCACAGCTGTACAGGAAAGATAATTTAGGGGTTAATTTGCATAGTCTTTTACTTGTTCCACTCAGCTCTCTGGACCCTCACTTCTATGCCTCCTGGGGCTGCCCTGATGTCCTACCCTGGGTAAAACTAGAGTTCCCAGAGGGCTGAATCTAGTGGAGTGTGCCCACCTGACTCGATGGTGGCGCCAGGGCCATGGTGGATTTGAGGTTGGCTGTTGTAGGGCAGGAAGTGGCTGTCAGGCCTTGGCTGACTCCACTCCCCCAACTCGGGGTTCCCCACAGCCCTTATGTTCCTCCTGGGTATCCTGGACTTCCTCTTCGTCAGCCATGCCTATCACAGCATCCTGACCCGGGGGGCCTCTGTGCAGCTGGTGTTTGGCTTTGAGGTAAAAGTGACTTGGGAAGTTGAGGGGACAAGCCTGAGGTAGCAGCGCATGTGCCCCGGGTGACCCAACAAACCCAACTGAGCACATGCCGCGTGGCCCCACCTGCGCTGGCAACCATGGAGCCGTGGTCACTCTCACTCCTGGGTGGTGGCTGGGGAGGGGGACTCAAAGAGGCTGATTCTGGGGAAACCTTGACTTGGGGTTCAGGAAGTCTTGCTGGAAGCTGGCATCAGAGCCAGCTCCGGATGGCTGGACTGTTAGGGATGCCATGTTCCAAGGCCAGAGGAAGAGTGTTCTGTGACAGTTCACGTTTGCAGAGGGCTGATGTATGTCAGGTCTTGTGCCAAGCTCCTGACCTGCTTTTCTTAATTAGCAAGACATGGCTATAATGAACAGTAATTCTGTAGTCCACTGATGAGCAAAGTGTAGTTGAGGGAGTCATTTAAATTTCCAAGTAGTGAGTGGAGGAGCCTAGGCTGCTCCTGCCATGCCTTCCGTGTGCAGGCCTGGTGCAGCAGCCTGGCTATCGCAAAGGGTGGGGGGATTGGAGTTCACGTCTCCCTGTGTCCTCTCCAGTATGCCATCCTGATGACCATGGTGCTGACCATCTTCGTCAAGTACGTGTTGCACTCTGTGGACCTCCAGAGCGAGAACCCTTGGGATAATAAGGCTGTGTACATGCTCTACACAGAGCTCTTCACAGGTGAGGAGGGGGGCTGGGCTTCCTCCCCTCCCCTGCCCAGCCCCTCACCCACTGTCTGCCTGTACAGCTCTGACCAGCTGCTCTCTACAGGCTTCATCAAGGTTCTGTTGTACATGGCCTTCATGACCATCATGATCAAGGTACACACCTTCCCACTCTTTGCCATCCGGCCCATGTACCTGGCCATGAGGTGAGTTTAGCTCTGGTACTCCACTCCCCTGATCCTGTGTGTCATTGCCCCCTCCCCCCCCCCC